GCGCTCCATCAGCAGCCGGATCTCGTAGGCGTCGCGGCTCAGGTTCACGATGAGGGCGAAGAGGTAATACCTGCAAGACAGGGAAGGAAATCCTGGAGCAGGGAATACCGGGAAGGCAGGAGGGGACACCTGGAAGAGAGCAGGGAATACCGGGAAGGCAGGAGGAGACACCTGGAAGGCAGGGAAAAGCGCAGGAGCAGGGACACAGGGCAGGTACCAGGGACTGACCCCGCAGCTCCGGCCGCTCCCGCGGCCGCACGGGGAACTGCGCGGCCGTAAATCCCAGATGGGAGCGGGATTCAGCGGGATCACCTGAACGAGCGYTGGCTCCACTTGTCCTGGTCCAGCGCGGGGACGAGGCCGGCCTTGCCYGCCCACAGCACGTTGTCGCAGGCCAGGTACATGGCCCTGTTGAGGTGGCCCAGGGTGAYGCAGAAGCGCAGCACCACGTCCGAGAGGTGGATGGCCCGTTGCGCCGCCTCCAGCGCCTCGGCGGAGCTGCCCAGGCGCAGCACTGCGGGGCGGCCGCCTCAGCGCCGGCGCGGACACGCGGAGGCCGCACGGCCACGGGGATGGGGACGGGGGACAAGGGAAGCGCAGCAGGATGGCATGCAGGGGACACGGAGCGGGGGATCCGTGCTGGGGTAACACACATGGGACCGGCAGCAGGGACACACATCTGGGACTCACGCGTGGGACACTCAGGGGACCTGCATTAAGGGGACACCCACGGGACAGCAAGGGGACCCGTAGGGGACACGCACCACGGGGACACCCGGGGGGACACACAAAGGATGCACATGGGAATCGCAAGGCGGGGGGGGCGTGGGGACCTGCAGGGGATACCCAGGGGACCCGCACCGGGGGGGCACCATGGGGACACACAGGGGACACATGCAAGGGATTTGCATGGGGGGCGGGACACGTAGAGGCGACCTAGAGGACCTACCCTGAGGGAACACCCATGGGACCCGCACGGGGACGGGGGACCCGCACCAGGGGGACACCTGGGGGACCCGCAGGGGGGACCCGCGGGGGGCATCCGGGGGACCCGCACGGGGAAGACACGCCGCAGACACTCGGGGAACCCGCGCGGGGGACACCCAGGGGACCCGCACGGGGACGGGGGACCCGCACCAGGGGGACACCACGGGGCCCCACAGGAA